GCCTGGACACTCTCCCTCTTTCCCTCCCTTCTCCCTTGATCTCTGTGCTGGAAGGCAGCTTTAAAGAAAACAATGTAGGAGATGCCAAAATTAGAGTCCATATGAAAAACTAGAACTCTTGTTTCCAAAATGATACCTCTTATTAGACCAGCTGGAAAATGGCAAGAAAAATTGTCCTTTTCTGCAAGCTTTCAGGAGAAAGTCCCTTTGTCAGGCTCTGGGAAAAATGTGGATGGTACAAGATGGTAAAAAGTAAATAAATAAACTTAATTTTTGCACAGGGGGAGCTGAAGATGGAAGGCTGTCCCTCTGGGTCCGTTAGTGTCTTTGTGGGCTGTGTTGAGTATCTCTTAGAAGACAGCTTATGAAGACATTCTCATGGACCCAGAGGGACAGCCTTCCATCTTCAGCTCCGTTTGTGCAAAAATTAAGTTTATTTCCTACCTATGGGGACTTCTTACCATCTTGTACCATCTACACTTTTCCCAGAGCCTGACGAAGGGACTTTCTTCCGAAAGCTTGCAGAAAAGGACAATTTTTCTTGCAGTTTTCCAGGTGGTCTTTGAATTTTAAACTTCATTGCAGAACAACAAGAAAGATTTTTACTTTTTTTTTTAACCTCCCTGCCTGCCATCTGACACCTCCAGGGAAGGAATTCTACTTGATCTACACATCAAAGAGATACTCAGCACAGCTCACAAAGACACTCTCATGGACCCAGAGAGACAGCCTTCCATCTTCAGCTCCCTCTGTGCAAAGATGAAGTTTATTTCCTACCTACGGGGACTTTTTACCATCTTGTATCATCTATACTTTTCCCAGAGCCTAATGAAGGGACTTTGATCCTGAAAGCTTGCAGAAAATAACAGTTTTCTTGCCATTTCCCAGTTGGTCTAATAAAAAGTATAATTTTTGAACCGAGAGTTCTAGTTTTTCATATGTCTTCTTGTCTCAGACCAACACGGCTACCAAGTACACCCCTAAGTTAAAAAGAGTGTGATCTACTTGCATATGCTTGCATGCAATTGGCAGGGGCCAGAGGGCAGAACTTAAATCCCTCTCAGGATTTTCCCTGGGGGGGAGGGAAGGTCTTGCATGATGCGTTTAAAATTGGGGAGAAAAGTTGGTCTTTTATGAGCCAAGTGTCTCAAACTTAAGAAATCCGGTGAATGTGAAAAACGTGGCAGGTCACTTAAAGGTAACATCCCTACCCTCAACTTCCCCATCTCACTACTGGAATTACATTCTGTCAGAACATGTGCAGTGCTGGAGGCTTTTAGTGGTTTGGCCTAAAGTATTTGTTGCATTCATTCCTGCCGTGTAACATGGTTCATGTTCTTAGTGTTCTCCCCTCTCTCTCTTTTTTTTTTTTTTTTCTGCACGTGAGAGACAAGCAAATTAAGAGATTCCTTCCCCCACTATTGAAGCACCTGGAGGGTGTTAAGCCTTTTATAGCCATTCTTTTTTGGAGCCATAACTCATAGCTGCTGCTTTTCTGTTTTCATTTACAGGTTGTGCAGCTTGACTTTAAAGAAACTGGTAGTCTTAAAGGAATTGGATAAAGAGCTCATACCTGTGGTCATTGCAGTTAAAATGCAGGTAACTTTGTATTTAATTAGTTCTGAGAGCAAAATGGAACCTTGCTAAACACATAAAGTGCTAAATTGTCAGGAAATAACCATGTTAGGATGAACTTCATCCCCCTAGCCACGTGTTGCTATTTCAGTGTTTTTGCAGTTACAGTATATGGTGTCTGAAGCTCCATGGCTACCTACACATGTTAAAGTTTTGGAATTTTTTCCCTCAGCTTTCTGTAATGTTATTGTCTCAGCAATTATGCATGTCTTCATAGAGTGGGATGTGTTGAGTTAGTCCTTTTGTTGAAGACAAAGGTAGTTTTATTTTGCAAAACTGAGTTTTTGGTTATAAATTCTCTTTTTCCCCCCAAATTCACTGAAACCAAGCCCGTTGTTCTGTGACAAGTAGCCTCTTGTGTCAGGGTGGAATTTATTCCCTAAGAGCCTAGTTCTACTCGGTTTCAGGTAGATGGGAATCTAAAATGTTCTATTTGCTTCTGAAAGACTTCCTTTCTGCTTTTCATCTTATTGTTGCTATGGATAATAGGAAAGTAAGGCTGGAGCGGACATCACAAGATCATCTAGTACAGCCCCCTGCTCAAGGCAGAATTATACTTGGACCAAGATCTGCTTAAATTAATTGTACTAGTAAAATAGTCATCTAGCAAAACATTTTTCACAAGCTTCAAAGGAGTCCGTATAGCTACTGTTGCAAAAAATACAAGAGCATGTTCCTTGCTCGACTAAAAAGCCATGTATAAAAGTTTTTTCAACTGTATGGACTTGTATGCACATGTACCTTTTAGTGTGTAAATATACCTATCAGTTCTGAACCTAAGATGATATGAATGCATCACTTTTGCCTGTAGGTAGGAGACAGACTAAAAAGCAGCGGGGTCTGTTCTTAAATTACTTGTCAGCTCCACTTACAGACATTCGTATCACTGAACAATACCTAAACATTGCTTAAAAGCAGAGGAAATTCCCAGGGATAGAACTTTGTTAGCCTAGAGCCGAAATGGGAGAAAGCAGCTGGTTCAGCCAAAAACCCTGTGGTGAACTTAGCAGTCAGGATATAAGACAAAGATTTTAGCTTAGAAATTGAAATGTCTGCAGTGACTTTACATGAATATTCCAGGTCTTTTTGTACACAAATAAGTATTCAACAAATAGTCATTTTGAGTATAGCTAGAAATTCCTATATCTGTCTGTGTTGAGACCAACAAGTTATCTCCAGTGGACTAAAGAGGTCTGCTGGTCATTGGGATACCCACTTTAAAAAAAATAAAAAAAAAAAAAAATTAGAATTTTGCCCCCTCCTCTCATGCAGTCACACAACTGGCCTTGTTAACATGGTTTTGGGGTACCAGCACTCAGCGCTGCTCTGGGTTTCTTATGCCCTTCCAGGATGGGAAAGTCTAGTTGCTGGAACCCTGGGAAATTGTTTCCCTCACAATAAGTTGGCTTTGTAGGGAAAAAGAGACCAATGTAGAAAATCAAAATAGACACTATAAATAAAAATATGCATCTAATCTTAACTGCTCCTCCAATGGAGGATAGCAAGAGGAATTGAGAATATCACAGGGAGGGATAGGAAGTTGCTTCTTGGGTATTTTTCAGCTACCGTCTCCCCATGTGCGCTCTTGCTAGAGCTTAATAGAACCTGGTGGTTGAGGAGCTATAGAGAGTTCAAACACTAAGTGGACAAGGTTCTTTGCATGAATCTGATATCTTTTATTAGACCAACTTAAATAGTTAGGAACATTTTTCTTAGCAAGCTTTTGGGTTTAAAAACCCTTACTCGAGCTGAGGAAGCATCTGCAGTTGGTGTGTGCTCTTCCTGGATGGCACATACCAACCGCAGATGCTTCCTTAGCCTGACTAAGGGTTTTTAAACCCGAAAGCTTCCTAAGAAAAATGTTTCTAACTATTTAAGTTGGTCTAATAAAAGGTATCAGATTCACCCAAAGAACCTTGTCTGCCTATGCCTTTAGACCAACACGACTACAACCTACACCCCTGTAACACTAGGTGGAAGAAGTCTTGAAGTCTGTACTCCAGAGAGACCCAATACAGCGGCAAAACGCTTTGTGCTCCTTTTAGCCCTTGGAGCTAAGGGATTACTGAGCCTTTTCACAAAAGGAGGGAGTTGTGGCTTGTGCAGACCGCTTCCAGGGCCATATAAAGGAACCCCAGAAGATGTGCAAATATGATATGCATGGTCAGACCATTTGAGGTCTCCTAGCCTCATTAAGATTTGGTTCTTTATACTGTTTACTCTCTCAAATTATTGCCACTTAGAAGCACTATGTATACACCCTTATGTGTATACCAAATTTAGGTTGGAAGGGCACAGGTCCTAGGGAAACTTTAACTATGTGAAACTGGATTACTGCAATGAAGATGGTTTTATGTTGGTCTTGTTCTGGTTATGACCACCTCCCCACCCCTGCATTGCTGCAGCTTGATTACCTCCCCATTTCTAATTAATTAATCTTGTTAAGAAAGTGCTGATATCACCATTGTAACCAGTAGAAGCAAGGGCTGAAGGCAAATTAGTGTAATTTGCTTAGGATCACAAAGGAAACTTGTGATGGATAAGTGGTCTCCCAAGTCCTAGCCATTGGACAATCCTTTCCCAATCTTCTCTTGACTTTGGCCTTGCATATCTCCTGATGTCACCAGGTCACCTGTAGAGGCCTAGAGCTATAGCTCACAAGCTAACCTTGTGTATTCCTTGTACTGTTACCTGATTCCCCCACCCAGGTTTATGCCATGTAATGGGCTAAAGGTGGGGCAGTATCTGGGCAGCTCCTCCATCAATAGTTTAAGTACATTTCAATCCTTCCCTGTTAAAAGCCCCCTTGTACCTTGGGATATTAATATGGTGCTGACAAGGCTTTTGGGCGGGTCACTTGATATGCATGAGCTCAAGTTTCTCAGTCATTTTTCTGAGGGTTGGTCAAATTGCATTGCTGGGTGCATTTATTTTCAGTCAAATGGCTTGCCCAGCTTTTTATATTAGAGATAAGGTGTTAAACATATCATAGGCCCTTCCAAAGGGTCTGAGGGAGCTTTACCTTTTGTCAGCCCATCTGTTGGTCCTTCATTACAGAGCCATTGCACATTTTTACACATGCCTGGGATGGGGCGGGGTGTGGTTTAATTAGAGCGGCTCCAAGAACCACTCTAATTTAAGTGATGCAGTGTCTTGTGTATCATTGTCCCTGTGCTTCAAAATGGTGGCAGGGAAGCTTTAACTAAAGATCATTCATGAGCTTCAGAGTGTCCCTCCCGATATTTTGAAGCATGGGGGCACTGATATAACACGAGATGCAGAGACTGGCTGGAGCATGCTAATAAGCACATTCCAGCAGACTTGATCAATCGAGTCCACTCTGATGTGCTGTAATTACAGCATGTTGGAGCCAGCCTCCTAGCATGTCTACAGGCACCCATTGTGTTGAAGCATCATTAAAACAGCCTTGTCACTGTTAAGGACTCTTGCACTTACTGGCCCAAATTCAGTCTTGAAAGTTTGTCATAGCTGCTGGGATAACTATATCTCTGCCCTTTACCTGGTGTCTGTGTCTGCTGAGTTCCACTCTTCCAGAGTTGCCATTAGCTGCCATTGTCCCACTTCTAAAGTTTTCCCTGAGCTACTGTGTCTGGTATCAAATGTTCTCCAAGAGATCTGGACGTATTTAGGCGCCTTGTAGAATTTCCTGTCCTGGAGACTGCCCAGAGGTACATAGTGACAAAACAGTCTACTCAAACCAAAGCATATAGAAAAGGGAAATTAAAATGGTCTATATGCATGTCTACCGTGCCTAAAGCTTTATGATTTCCTGATGTTAAACTAGATAAGATAGATTTCTTTGGACAAAACCAATGGGCATTTGTTTCTTGGGTCTTAAACAGCAATATCAGGCTCTTCTCTTAAGTGAAGAGACACCCTGCTGTAACTCTTTGCTTCTGCACAATGGCCCCTCTGGGCAAAACCACTTCTGAAGGCTCAGCAGAAGATCAAGCTGACATCCTCTGCACTCTGCTCCTCTATTCCTGCCTCCTATTATGAGTGTTTGAATAGGCATACATCCATGCACAGAGGGTTGGCTCCGCTCCAGCAAGCTGTTTGCAGCTCAGCATAGAGCTCCTGTGAACTCTCTGCCCATGTTCTGTTTGGAGAACTACTGCCTGCCAAGAACAAATTTTCACTGGGAATGGCTGTGGGGGTGGGATTTGTGGGGAGGGGAGGATCCCCCTTTTGTGGTGTCTCCCAACTTTGGCGATTCACTACATCCCAAGTTACAAAGCACTGGACACTAGAGTCCTGAAAAGGTGAAGGGAGCGGGATCACACTGATGCCCAGAATTTCATCTGATAGATTTTCTCTTTCTGTGTAGGGTTCTAAACGAATACTTCGGTCTCATGAAATTGTGCTGCCCCCGAGTGGACATGTGGAAACGGAACTTGCACTAACTTTTTCACTACAGGTAATGGAGATTTAAACCTCAAGGAGATGCGCTCGTTTAGAAAGCTTTGTTGCCTTTAAAGTCTCTGTGAACAATCTAATTTAAATCCTCTTCTGAAATAACTGTAGGTTGTTCTAGCAGACACCCTGATGGTTACCGTAATGCTTTTCATTATAGCTGCTGTCTCAGCCATTTGGACTGAAATGTTCTGTGCTGGAATTCTGCCTTAGCTTGAATGTTTTGGGGAAGTTTCGTATTATAAATGATCCAGCAACTTCCAAGTGCTAGGTTGGCAAAACAGTTGTTTTTGAAACATTGGCATCTCTGTGTTTTAGAGCAAAGCTATGGAAGTTGATGGGGTAGCCATGGGGTTGGAGCAGTGCTTTTTTTTTTGCCATTTTGATGGAAATCTACAGAGACACAGGCAAATTATGAGGCTTTGAAAAACAGCATGTGTATGCCCAGTGGAACTTGTTGAAAGGCTAGCAGTTAAAGACTCCGACCATTCCTTCTTCAGTAAGTGTGCTCCATCCCCAAAGTGCCCAGAGCAGTCTTTCAGCTCAGCAGTATTAGTCCCTCTAGCGAGCCTGCATGTTGTCATGCTTTAAGCATTGCAGTTTATACAGGACTTAGAGGACTTTTCTTGTCATTGCTTCTCCTGGTTGCTGATTAGGGAGAGTTTGGTCTAGGAACTAGGACAATGCTAGAAGGTGTTTCCTTGCTTTTCTTTCTGCTCTCTTTTGCTTGCATCCAGGTAATGTGGAAGGAAAAAGCAGGAAACCACTTAACTTGAATGAATTGAAAGGGGGTTAATGGCAGACAGATGGAAGAACAAGGCTAGAAGTGGGGAACAAAGAGCACAGAGGAAAGAAGGATATTGGCAAAACCTTCACCAAGAACACCCTTCTAGTTTGACCATAGTGGCCTCATTCCCACTTGCTTTTCCACACTCATTTAGTCTCATCTTCTACTAGGTATGAGGGATTTCCTCTGTACCTTACCTATTGCTGAGGGACCCTTGGCAGTAAGAAGTGTTCCTCAGTGACCAGGAGTATCTTGTGTGGAAGTGAAGCCTCTTGGCTAGGAGCCAGCAGGAGACCATGTAGTCCATTTCAGCTCTTCCACTGACTGATGCATATAGCCCTAACCAGGAACCAAGTCTCCTACCTTGCACAGACATTAGTCTCCATATTGAATAAAAGGAGAGGTAGCTGAGAAGAACTTACGCTTGTGCAGTCAAGAACAGAAGTAGCTTCTGAATGGTCTTGGATGTTCAGGAAAATAAGAATTGCAGTAGGCACATGTAAGTGGGATCCTGTGATTTTTATTTCAGCATCTCTTGGCAGCTTTTACCACATCCCACAAATTAAGTGCGTTTGCTTACAAAAATGAAGCTCCTGTCTTTGCCATTAATGGGGAAACATTAGCTTGGCCACCACGCTGTTTGGCAAGATGCACTGCCTTATTAGAAGTGCTAAAATAGGATCCTGATTCAGCACTTGTAGATGCACACGGCTATGGCAAATCAATATTAGCTCCTGTGTTTTTGCCAAGACTAGACAAATCCTGGCTTCTTGGGGTGGAGAGATTCCTAGGCCCTTGTTCTAATAGCAGCATGTGCTGAACCTTCCCAGTGAGAGCCACAGCAATCGCAGTGTGGGGAACCTCTGCACTTGCTCTGCTTAATGAGACTCCTGTGTTGCAGGCATTTGGGGTATTCGCATTTAGGGAACACATGAATGTTGTGGAAGTCTGTGAATTGTTTTACATGGTAAAGATAGAGGTCTTAATCGAGTGGGGCCTGGAAATCCAATATGACCCATACTTATTACAAAATCAGTTAAAAGTTTCAAGTATGGACTATTGAAAGGATGACGGTGATAGTGATACTATAAGTAGTTGCATGGGAGAAACTTGATGGCTTTCCAGTCAAACTGGGATATGGAAATAAATGGAGATTCTAGATTTTCCCTGTCCTGAACCCAGCCACACAAGGTGGGTTAGAGACTTAGCCTAGCTTCTAAATAAGCTTTCATTGCAATATGAATGGAAGTAGCAACTCTGTTAGCAATAGTTCCTTTCTTCCAAATGTATTGGGTAGGTGTAGAGGACTAAAGTCTTGGCAGTAAGCCAAGATCTCCCGAGCAAAGGCTGTGACTGGGGATGAGGCCAGACTGTCCCTCTCCTACCGTGTGACACCCAAGAATAAATATTCTTGATGGATCTGGACAGGCATGTGGTTTTCTGGGACTTTCAGTTTCCTGGTGGTAGGAATTGGGGTTCAGCTTCCCTTTCTGCATTAAAAATCCATGCCCTTGGAGCAGAGAACTGCATTTAACATGACCATGACTTGCAGTGAGAGTGCTCACAACTTTCTTCTTCTTTGGATGTGAGCTTTCTTGCAGCAGGTACCCCCAGATCATCTTGTGGATGTCTTGTAATATAGCCCCTCAGAGTACAGGCCAGGCTGTATGGACGTTTCTGTTCTACAACCCATCAGGGTCTGCTCCCATTGGAGTGACTGGGAATACAGCCTAAGCCAAGGTGACAGAACTGTGCCCTTGACACTGTAAACTTTAAGGAAATGGAATTGGAGAAGCTAGCAAGTGTAATGCATTGAGAACCTGTTGCTGAGAGGAGGCCAAGTTCTCTCTGATTACAGGGAGGATTTTTGTTCTTACACAGTAATGCAGTGTAAGAAGCCTTTCTGGAATGGCCCAGTAAGGTTTTAATGACACTAACTGCCTCTTAATTGGATGATAGCTTGAAGATGCTTCAAGCTCCTAACTATGGCCTTGCCCAAGCAATTTGGAAGCTAATGACCAAGGTATTTGAGATAAATTTGTAGGCTCAGGAGTGTTGGCCAACATGTAGCTTCTGACTAAGAGCACCTCTGATGTATGGCAGTGATTCTCAGCCAGGGTGCTGGCCACCCAGGGGTGCTGTGAGATCCTTTGAAGGTTGCATCAAGGTAAGCAGATAAGCAAATAAGCACAGACTCAGGCTCAGTCCCTGCCTGGCTGTTCCCCAGCCCCCACAGCCTGGCCCCTCTGCAAGGTAGGTAAGCATTGTAATAAATATGTTTTGATTTGTTTTGTTTTTAAATGGGGTGTTGCTCAATTCACAAAAGTCATGGAGGGGTGCCTTGAATTTGTTGATTGGTTATTCTGCTAGCTCAAGTGGTTGGATCTTTTGCATTCGCTACACAGATCCTATGTTACTGATGAGTAGAAAGCTAGGGAAGAGGGTTGGGTAGTGATACCACATACTGCAGTAGTTTCATAGTTTCATAGATTTAGGGTCGGAAGGGACCTAGTAGATCTTCTAGCCCGACCCCCCACCAGGGCGGGAGAACAACAAAACCCCAAAAC